GGGTGGGTGCCCCTGCGGGTGGGTGTCCTCACGGGTGTCCCCGCGGGTGGGTGTCCCTGTGGGTGTCCCCATGGGTGTCCCTGCGGGTGGGGGTCCCTGTGGGTGTCCCCGCTGGTGGGTGTCCCCGCCGTTGGGTGCCCCCGCTGGTGGGTGTCCCCACAGGTGGGTGCCCCGCGGGTGGGTATCCCCATGGGTGTCCCCACAGGTGGGTATCCCCATGGGTGTCCCCGCGGGTGGGTGTCCCTGTGGGTGTCCCCATGGGTGTCCCCACGGGTGGGTGCCCCTGCGGGTGTCCCTGTGGGTGTCCCCGCGGGTGGGTGCCCCGCGGGTGGGTATCCCTGTGGGTGTCCCCATGGGTGTCCCCGCGGGTGGGGGTCCCTGTGGGTGTCCCCGTGGGTGTCCCCGCGGGTGGGGGTCCCTGTGGGTGTCCCCGTGGGTGCCCCCGCGGGTGGGGGTCCCTGTGGGTGTCCCTGTGGGTGCCCCCGCGGGTGGGTGTCCCTGTGGGTGTCCCTGTGGGTGCCCCCGCGGGTGGGTGCCCCGCTCACCTGGCCTGCCCCATGAAGTCGTCGTAGAGGCAGCGCTGCCGCTTGGACAGGCGGCACTTGAGCACGTGCTCGTACTTCTTGGGCATCTGCTTCTCCACGTCCACCTTGACGCGCCGCAGCAGGAAGGGCCGCAGCACCTGCGGGGTGACGCCGCCGCCGCCTGTTGGCACCCGCCGCCGCCTGGTGGCACCCCGCCGGCTGCCACCCGCCCGGCAACCGCCGCCCGCTGGCGCCCCGCGCCGCTGCGGTAGGAGCCGAGGTGGCCAAGGTGGCCCCCGATGTCGGGGTGACACCTGGGGGCTACAGCCTGACGTGGGGGTGACACCCGGGGGCTACAGCCTGATGTCGGGGTGACACCCGGGGGCTACGGCCTGAGATTGAGGTGACACAAGGAAGCCACAGCGCGATGTCGGGGTGACACCTGGGGGCTACAGCCTGACGTGGGGGTGACACCTGGGGGCTACAGCCTGATGTCGGGGTGACACTCGATGTGGGGGGTGACTCCTGCGAGCCACGGCCTGACGCTGGGGTGACACCCAGGGGCTACTGCCTGATGTCAGGGTGACACCTGGGGGCTACAGCCTGATGTCGGGGTGACAGCAGGAAGCCACAGTCTGATGTCGGGGTGACACCCAGCAGCTACAGCCTGACATCAGGGTGACACCCAGGAGCTACAGTCTGAGAGCGAAGTGACACCAGGAAGCCACAGCCTGACATGGGGGTGACACCCGAGAGCTACAGCCTGATGTCGGGGTGACGACCAGGAGCTACAGGCTGATGTCACCGTAACCG